TGTAATGCAAAGTGCGGATGACACCAATGTAGCGCAGAGTGCGGATGACAGCAATGTAACGCAGATTGCGGAGGACAGCAATGTAACGCAGAGTGCGGATGACAGCAGTGTAATGCAAAGTGCGGAGGACAATGGTGTAAGATAGAAAGGGACTTACAGTTTTGATGTACTAGATCATGTGCTCTGTCATGCCCCCTTCTTCCTCTCCGGGTGGTGGTGGTGGGGGACAGCGATGTTTCTCCTATGTGAAGCCCCAAGCAGCCTTGATGCGTCTTCTCTGTCCCTACTCTGCTAAAATACATGAGCAGCCAATGGCAGTGCTGTACTCTACCTCTTAGCCAATAGCAGCTGGGGTTAGCGGAGGAAGATACAAGTGGTTGCCGACTGCTGAGGAGCCCATACAGCAGTGGTCTCAAACTCAATTTAGTCGGGGGCCACTGGACACATTTACATTTACAGTGTTAATGTCTGCATATGTTACAAGCAGCAACTGTCACCCATTCAAATTAATGATCGGGTGACAGCTGCTGCATGTGAACGCCTGCACACCGCATGTAATCCTATGTGAAAAGATTGCATGTAGTTAGGAATCTCTGTCACTATCCCTGGTTACACAATTGTGTATCCAGAGATAGTGATTGTTTTTGTAACTGCATGTAATCGTATTACATACAATTACATGTGGTATGCAGGCGTGTACATGCAGCAGCTGTCACCCGATCATTAACTAGCTGCCGTACAGTGGGCAGCATTCGGCAGAGAGGAGTGAAGAAGAGAGAGTGCAGCGGTGGCGGTGGCCATTTTAAAGGGGAATCAGCGGGGGGCAAACGGGGGGCAAGGAATAACCTGGGGGGGGGGCAACCTTGCCCCCCTGTAGAGACACCTATGCTGTGTTGTCTTGGTGCCCAGCGGTAGGGTTGCGGGTACGCGCACATACACATGGCGTTACTGTGACCTATTAGTCAATTCGGGTGCCTCATTTACACACTTACCTCTCCTCGCCGGCCCATTGGCCCCTGAGGGTTGGAAGCTTCCTTGTTGCTCTGACAACGTGGGCGTTCCTGGCCCTTGCTTGGATTAAATCCCAGTCAGAGCCCTGACTTGTTGCTGAGTTATTCTGCCTGTATCCGGTGCAGCTACGAAGCATTATTTCCTTTCCCTGCTCTTGCTTTCCTTGCCCATCATTCGGACTCCCTGGTTACTGACCCCCTGCTTAACTCCTTGTTCTCGATACCTGCTGCCTGCCTCGACTCGGACTGCATTCTGTGTTGTACCTTCACCACGGACTTGTACCCAGTTCTGTTCACGGCTATTGGGTTCCACTCCAGCATACAGGGTAACTCCGCCCTTGATGCAGCCAGTGTAGCCACCAACAATTATCAGTATTACAATGGTGCAGAAACAAGGTCAAAGATGTGTGCTATTCTCTGTATGAATTCTCTCTGCGTGCTTTCGTTATATAAATACCATCTCCCCTGCTTTAATCAAAGACATTATCCTAAAACACAACAAAAGTATACACTGAGTGGCCAGATTATTATGACCACCCCATCAGTACGAGATGACTCCACGAGATGACTGCGTTGGGCCGCCTCGTGACTCCACGAGATGGTGAAAGGGGATGCGAGGAATCTGACACTGCACTGTTGCCCTTCTGTTGTCTTGTACTAGTCTTGCCACTCTCCGCTCTGCCCTAACATTGACTAGTCGCTGACGGCCACAATTCGCACGTTCAGACCCAGATTTTTGGCTGACGGTCCAGTCTTTAAACACTTTAACAACAGCTGCTCTTGAACATTTAATGAATTCTGCTGTTTTGCTGATACTTGCTCCATGGCTCGCGCCAACAATCATCCCACGTTCAAAGGCTGTTAAATCTTGACTTCAGGTATAGGATAAGAGGGCATACTAATTATACCTGCTATAGGGCAGGTTTGGCACTGTTAAGGACACTTACACAAAGATATAGATATTTAGTGGATAATCTACGTATGATTAGTTTTAGGAAGGTAGAGGGAGACACACATATATATGTACGTGCATATAAAATATAGTTTTAAAAATAATAAAAGAGGACACCCCACAAGGAGAAAGATGGCACAATAAAAATTTAAGGGATTTAACCCTTGTCGAATTTGACACAAGATATGGGAAGAAAAAAATACACCTTTTTTTTTTTTTCTCCTCTGGGGGATTGGAAGACTGTAGAGGTAGGATATTGTGAATGTTAGTTATTATTTATTTATTTTTTTATTGTGTATATGTATGTGGTTAAAATGCAATTGTTTATTTGTTTAATGTACTGTTTGAATATGAAATAAAAAAATGTTGATATAAAAAAAAAAGGCTGTTAAATCGCGTTGTTTACCCATATCTTCAGAAAAAAATCACTTCTACTGTTGTGGTAAACAACCTGCTTCCCTATTTATAATGACCTGGCCCTCTAGCAACTTCAGCGTGAAATTATAGCTAATTTGCCTACAAACGTCAGGTGGTCATAATAAACTGGCCACTCAGTGTACATACACCATGTTAAAGAGGTAGGTAGTTTAAAATTTATGTCACAGAATCAAGATTGTGTCTTTAGAAGGGTATATGGTCAGATGTAGTTCTTTTCAGTTTCAGCACTATTCACGTTGAATGCAGGATCTGTACAAACGATTCATTGGTTGTAAAAAGATTCTTATGGAAGCTGATTCCCTAAACAATTACAATTTTCTTTATAAAAAAATTGTATGTTTCCAAAAAAAACATGCAATGGTGGCACATAATAATGCAACAGCGTTTCGAAGTACAGGGCATGCACATGTGTATTGTGTGTGAGCATTAGATTATTGTAAAACATGCAAACAGATGGTTAGACTGTTTGAAAGCAGAGAAAACTTTCAGCACAGTGGGTTGATTTTCTATTAATACTGGTCTATTGCTAGAAAAAAAAATGTTTTTATAAAACTAAAATTGTCATACAGTTGCAAGAAAAAGTATGTGAACCCCTTGGAATTCATTAGTTTTCTGCAGTCACAAACAATTCTAATTTCTCGTGACTTTAATGAACACACCCATTAAACATTCACAGTGGTGGAGGCAAAAGTCTGTGAACTCATAGACTAATTACTTCAATAGAAACTAATTGGAGTCAGTAGCGTGCACACCTTGAGTTCAATTAGTGAAATTAGTTTGGAGGTGTGGTTTAGAGCTACTTTTTATGGCAAATTACTGCAGAAAACCAGCTAATTCCAAGGGGTTCGCATACTTTTTTGTTGCCACTGTATTTACTATTTCAAACCAGACCCCTTTTACATCTTTAGCTGCTTAGCTAGAACTAGTAAGTTTACAGAGATAAAATACATAGAGGGGCTTGTGACCCGCAAGCCCAGGAAATGTATTTAGATTGCTTGGTAAGTCTGGGCATTAGAAATGTATAGGCATATAGGATATTATGTATAGCCATCTGTGGGTGTCTGCTATATGCCAAAAGCGCTGAGTTAGGTAACTGTTTTACAATTCAGGTTAACATGCTCTTTCAGGCCAAAGTGATACTTATACTCACCCATCCTGTTCCCTTGCTGCCTCCTCACTGCAGGAGCCTACCTTGAATAAGGTCTGGTGCTGGATGTTGTCCGAGCTTACCCAGTTGGATGATGTCACTGCCCCCTCATGTGACAGTGTTTGGGCCTGGTGATTGGGGACTCGGGCCCAAACACTTTAGAGAGAGAGATCACATGCTGCCTCATACTTGTAAGCCTCAGCCCACTCGTGCAAGAGAGTTCAAGGAGCAAGTTCTCAGATGAAGCACGGAGGCACTGAAGGAGCAAGGATAATGAGTATACCTTACTAGGTGTGCGGAGAGTTAATGGAAGGCACTGTCACTTACAGAAGCATTGTACAGAATCATGTGGTATAATTATATCCAGGGCTGTCCCTATGTAAATCGCTGCCTGAGGGTGATGCCATTTATTAGCTAACTAAATAGACTGTAGTGCAAGCTTTGCTGGCCTCTACTTTAGGCAATACCTGGCTAAAAAGCTTGAACAGTCTATTTAGTTAGTCAATAAATGGTATCATCCTAAATCCACAAATCCCCAAAAAACTTGATTCTGTGTCTAGTTTATAATTAAAGATGTACTTACGTATTACAAATACATGTCACACTTCATGCATGGTAATGTCATACTGACTGTGCTTTATTGTTCACGTCTTTTTATACAAGCCACTCAGTCAGACTGGTAGAAAACAATACTCTATAAACTGGTAATCCTTTATCAGTGCAATCCTACAGCAATGATGCTCACTGCACATACATATTATAAGATAGACATTAAAGTGAATATCTACAATTTTATATGAAATACCATCATAAAAGTTGGATAGTGAGCACATAAAATGTGAAAGACACATAAAATTACTTTCAGTTAGACTTCACAATAAACAACTGAAATATGCCCACTGAAAATATATTTCAGTTTCCTTTAACCTGGTAAATAACTTCAATGACTGCTTAACTTTTTTTATCCTGCCTTAAGATATATTCTAAATCAAATTAAATGAAATTCTAACTTTCTGACGATTATTATGGACCCTTTTAGCACTAACCGTTTCATATGTATGTGTAATAAAGCCTCTGTGGTATCTGTTTTCCTTTGCTCTACCTTAAAATTATCTTAATTAGTGTGAAGAAAATGCATATGGCCTTCTATGTTTAACAGCCCAGGGCAAGGGTTTTGATATACACATTATTATTCACCATGACTTGGGTAGCAACAGAACTAAAGTGCTTCATGCGATTTCAAAAGCTTAGAAGACCCAAGGCCGTTCCAGCACCACTGGAAACAAATGTATTCGATTTGTCAATGGGGATACAAGGGAACAATATTTTCAGTCCAAATAGGATCATTTCAGTGGACTTAATTCCCTGTTTTATTATAAGGCATTTGTGGAATGTCTTTTCCCCAGCATTTTGCTTGATTGTAAAATAGGCATTTTATTTGTCATTTATTTAGAAAGATCTGGATTCACTGTGCGACCAGTTGCTGGCTATCTCTCCCCAAGAGACTTCTTAGCTGGACTAGCTTATAGAGTGTTTCACTGCACCCAGTACATCAGGCATGGATCAGATCCTCTCTACACACCTGAACCGTAAGTATTTTGTGATTCTAAATTGGAGCGCCATGAAATCAGGCTGCAGAGATTAATATGCAGCTGAGGATGCAGCATTTAAATTATAGCACATCCAATTATGCTAAGGTTCCTCTGTGCACAATACGACTAATGAACAACATCTGTCATTTTCTATCCACAAAAATCAATAGAGGTTGGGTTCACTTGATTATAGGAAAATACATGTTTCAAATTCTTTTTCCTAGATGCAGTTATTTCTTTGTACTGAAGGCAGCGCCCATGCATCACTAGCTAGACTCTTATGTTTAGACTGCATCTGAAGACTAATTTAAGACTAACACTTCTGTCTAGAGCTAACCTTTGGGATTTCACATGGGTAAGAATCCAAGTTTTGAGTCCAAATTAACTGTCTTTCACAACGATAATGATATGAATTAACCGGGTTTTGTGCAGTCAGCCCAAATTTTTTATATACTATATTCCTGGAAGGAGGTCAGAAATATATTTGATGGAAAATGACAATATATGCCCAAATATCTGAGTATGCAGAGACTATCCAGAATGTAGTATAATAAAATAATAATAATAATAATAATATAAAAACAACAACAAATACAGTGCAATGATATGATCTGTTAAAATTGCATAGATTATTTTTTATGAGGAGGTGCAGCTTTTCACATAAACCCTACTTTAGCACTAGAGTTTAGGTCCCTAACTCTAGTTTCATGCCACTTTGGCAACTGCCACAGCAGCATCCTGTCTGCATCCTTCCACCATTTGGACTTCTGTTCATTGCCATGAATATCTGTGACCACAGAGCTGTTTGTAATGCCTTGAAAATCTGCAAAAAAACCCCCCTTTTTTTGTTATGAATGTCTCTAGTTTTTAAATGTGATATCATAAAGTTCAGCTAGGGTTGCAGTATTAATAAGAAGCAGGGTTTTGTAGGACATATTTGTTCCTTTGGCAACATTTCCAAACCCGCAGGGGAGAAGGAACTTATTCCGACACTCATTGCTGATAAAACTATATTTATTTGTTCCTTCAATTTAGTAAATGAAAGAGATTTTCGATTTTCTTACCAGCTGCAAAATATAGGGAAATGAGGGAACAAAATGATAATTAATTAGGCATAACTAAGGGTATTAAGAGATTAACTTGGAACAAACATTTATTAATTAAAAAAACACTTTTTTATTACAATTGCAGGTACGCTGGAACTAATTAGATCAAAGGACAATTCTTTCATTTTGACATAAGCACTAAAACTCATCATGACAATAGTGTTACAGTGTAAATGTGAATGAAGCCTGTAACTTCTGTTTGCAAGATTCAATTATGCAGCACTCCTGATACACTAATTCGGGGCAATGATGTGCAACTGAGCTGGAGCTAGTGCATGTAGACAGGAGATGCAGAAAGGAGATGAAAAATAAATGAAATTATTATTTTAAGGAAAAGAAAATATGCCATTCAGAGTCACATGCCTTTTTTGTTAACAAAGATAAAAGTTTTATGCGTGTGACCAATCTTTGTGTAGCCTGATGAGATAGTTGAATATTTAATGATGTATCTACTGACTGCAGTGAACTTAGAGATTTACTGAAAATACCTATCTGCTTGAAATGCACAGTGTTAGCCCTCATTCACACGAGTAACAGCCGGCTCGTACAAATCCGCGCTGCCTGCATGGCCGTATCGGGTCGCTCCCGGGAAGGACAGGTGCTGCTTGGGATTTGTACGCAGCAGCCTGTTCTTCTCTATGGGGGTACGTGGCCGTACGCTGCCCTACGCTCACCCGAACTGCACGTCCGTGTGGGTGTCCCTGCTGAGACGCAGACAGGATGCATCCTGTCAGCTTACGAGTACGGACACCTGCACTGATGTGCAGTTCGGGTGAGCGTACGGCTGCGTACTCCCATAGAGAAGAATCGGCTGCTGCATGCAATCACACGCAGCACCTGTCCCTCCTGGGAGTGGCCGATGTTACTCGTGTGAATGAGGGCTTAGCCCCTTTTTGGGCTGACAACACACACATTTTTTGAGTGGTGTCAGCCCTTCAGGTATCTTTTGCTAAACTACTTAACCACCCACACTTTTATACCTCTGGGGCATAAAATCTAATCAGTCTTCAGCCCATAATAAGAACTAGGATCTGGTCTTTTGGAGAGTGCAGAGGACATAAAACAGTTTGGAAATTCTGGAAAGATAAACAGGTTTTTACCGCACTTGTCAAACGGATATAACAAAATGCCTCCAATAGTATGTTTAACAGGCAAAAAGGAGCAAATAGGAGGAGTTAATTTTTTTTAGGGTTTACATACACTTTAAGCTTAATAAAGCTCATTTAACTGAGACACCTTCAGGGGTTTCCAATTGTCTACAAATGTGCTCAGGCATACCAGTCCTTCTGGGAAATTTTAGAAATTTTGATTGTCAGTCTGACCTGATAAGTATCTCATATGGATGGAGAGAGTTAAAAAGGATCAGCTGAGCTCAACCATGCATCAGTTAATGATTATCCATAAGGCACTTTGTGGAATTATCTGTTACCCAGTTCGCTGCCTGTCTATCTATCTATCTATCTATCTATCTATCTATCTATCTATCTATCTATCTATCTATCTATCTATCTCATAGTAGAAAAGTTCCCTTACACATTATATAACCACATTCTTGGACACGCTGCATTCAGCATCTATTTCCTGAACACTGCAACCTCATGAGGGCAATAGTACTTCCTTTTTCATTGGGTACAGTCAAACTGTTATGGGCATATTTAATGACTTATGCAGAACGCATAGAGAACATGTAACTCATTGGATTTAGTGATATGCTCCGCTTTATTTTCTTAACCACATTAATAATAAATAGAATCTGATCAGTTGCTATGGATAAGGATACACTTGTGCACATTTTAGCGTGCTATTAAATAAAAATGGTTGTATTTGTTCATTGTTCCTAGAATTTTAATATAATTCTGTTTCTGAAACAGTAGTAGGCAGGAAGGATTTTTATGTATAAGTGTATAATCTACATAATCAGCACCTTGGGTGGTTACACGAACTTTGACGTTTTTATGAAACTAAGACAAGGCTTGCCAGAGTGTCTCAAGAATATAATTTGCTTCCCAGGTAGTCAGGGATGCAATTATATTTGCAAAGGAATGTATTTGTGCCCATAACAATAAGAAGAGGCATCAGAATGTCTAATGAAACTCAAATTAAACTGCTAGTGCCATATTCCTGTACTAACTAGCCTCCCTTTCGGCTCTAAATTACGGAATGCAAATTTTGAGCTGGGGATACAATTAGTTAATCAAGGCACCATAGAAACATAGTTTAAATTATTGCTGTGTATTTCCAAATAATTGCAGTTTAGTTTTTATTTTTGCATCTATTGCAATTTTCCATATTTATACTAGCTTTCATATTTCCATTTAATGGACTTGATTAACACAAGCTTTTAATGTTTAAATTGCTTTTGAAAATGTAATTGGAAGTTTGTAAGTGGATAGCAAAGTGCCTATATATTTGTGGGTACATCACGTGGCATTTTCTGTGTATTATTTATACATGCTTATTCTGCAGCAGTGCGCCAGACAGATAACGCGTGGATAGGGCACAGGCTACATTACTGTGCTCATGCTATATTTCTGCTTTTAAATACATCTGAAGTCTACTGGCTAAAAGTAGAAAAAAAAGAAAATTACATTTCCACACAAGACGATAATATCCTCATTTGGAATCCCAGACAGCTGCAGTTTAATGTACCAAATACCAGGTAGGTATCTCATAATGTATCTGGTTCATTTGATCACAAATCTGATACACAGCTGGTATTTTTCAGCAAGGGTACAGAGAAAAATAAAAGTAACACGTTTCTGTAGTTTGACCGGAATTTAACCTTTAAACTGGGTAGTTACAATACATAATAATATAATGCGTTATAAAACATATTTGACTGTTGTCATTTCAGTTTTATATGTTGTCCATAGCATCCTTTTTTTTTTTTTTTTTAAATTAAAAATAATTTGATTTGTGTTTAGTAAAAGATAAGAATACAGTGGCACAGAGAACTTAGCAGATATCCAAATATAAAAAGGAGTTTCTGTAGTACAGTGCAATACCTTCAAAGTCAGTTACGTTGTAAATACATCAGTTTTATGGGAAGCCGCAAGACAATTAATTGAGCGGGCTTCCAGCAAAATATGGTCTCACTATGTTATCACAACAGGGCTGCAATAGCAAGAGGGGAAAGAAGATGAAAAAGAGGAAAGAAATGTTGAAGCAGCAGAGACAGAGTTGGCCAAGGAGTGAGGGAAGGAGAAGGGAGAGGCAAAAGGTGAGGGGCAATATGATAGGGTCCAGGTAGAATGGGGGTTGGGAGGGAGCAGTCAGATGACTCCAGTTTGCATAGGAGTTGTGGTGGCAGGCACTTCTCAAAGACATGATAGAACATCAACCAAGCTCAATGACCTCCAAAGTTCATTAAAGTGGTGTCACAGAGGTGGGGTGATAGGTTAAAATCCTTTTTAATAGTATCAATACTAAAGTAAAAGGAAAAAATACTACTAGAATATTGAGAGAATATGTATATAGTTGGACAGATAGTGTCACGATACCGAGCATGGGTGTCCCAACACCACGTGCAAGTACCTATACAGGTGAACCGAATATGTGACCACACTGCAAATACCACAACAATCTTTGTGAATGATAATTCAATAGATATGTCAAACCACATAAACATATGCAATCCCACCACCACCCGCAAGAAACAGACAAGAGCCACACTATATACAAACGGCAAATCAACCACAGAAAATAACAGGGCTGGTTATAACCTGGGGAGCAGGGCAACAAGAGGAGGGCCGGGAGCCACAGATCAGGAAACCTCAGGGGTAAGGGTAAGGGTCAGGGTACAAGGCAGCAATAGGATACTGGTGACAGGATACGGCAACAATACTGGGGCACAGGCCTCACAGCAGGGAGAGGTTAAATACCCTCCCAGAGCAGCACCAGGTGGCGACTAATTGCTGGCAGACACCTGCAGGCGAGCACTGGAACTACAGCATCAGGTTCCAGCTCCACAGTGCCACCCGGAAGTGCTCTGGAATAATGTAATGTAATACTGCATTATGATCACTAGGCGGATAAGTATTTCATTCCTATGCTTCTCAGCTCCATCTAATAGCCATAATGTGGTACATCCAACCTGAAAAGAAACCATACTAATTACATTTAGTTTTGCCTCTATTCACACAAAGTGAAGATTCACAGAGATTTGCAGGGAAAATGGCTCTGTGAATTCATTATAAATAGACCCCTAAGCGTTTAAGCTGAAGTCTAACCTGCCTATATTTTGCCTTACTTTGTTCTTCCTTCCTCCCCTCACCATATGCTAATGATTTTTTACATAAAACATTTCTGTTTTCATTACATACCTTATTTTAAATTCAGTGACATCATCATGTGCTCTCTATGCAATGCAGGCAGATCATGCCAGGTGGAAGAGGCCAGCAGGGCCTGTACATAGCTGTCTAAAATCATCACTGCACCCTGTCTTAGTACTTCTCCCAAGAGACCTAGCCCTGATGCAAACAGTGGGCTAGCTCCGGGGAGGATTTATGGAAATATCAAAATTCCTGGTGCATATCAGTCTGGAGCAGTGGGTGTACCTAGGCAGACGTCATTTGCATGCAGACCACCCTAGGTAACATCCACATGTGATAATTGAAAGAACTGAAATCCTGTGACTGAAAGAGGTGGGCTAGGGACAGGCTGCGAGTAAACCGGAAACAGTAGCGATGTAGCAGCCTGCAGGAGAAACCACAGCACACAGCAGGGGACAGTTTGTCTGACCCAGAAATGTCACCTGGAAGCAGTGCTTGTAGCTCTACAAGAGAGCACAGATTTGATTTACTGCCTGCCAGAAAGGTAAGTATTCAACTTAGTCTTTCACAAAGTACTTCTGTATGAAATTTGCTTTCCTAGTGACAGAGTCACTGTTACTGCACGTTACCCTTTGGCCTGTTTGCTACAGGTTACCCTTTGGCCTGTTTGTAGCTTGGCATGAAGCAAAACTCTTGGATACTTCAAAAAGCCAGACTGCGTGTAGAAAATCATGATGCTTTATTAACAAGAACATAGTGGGTGAAACTAGGAAGAAATAATAAATACAGTGGTACCTCAGTTCGAGATCGCGGTCTGATCACAGTTTCATTCGGTTCGCAACCAGAATCGTGGAACGAATTAAGTTCGTGAACTAAGGTACCACTGTACATACAGTATATATATATAAAAATAATCAATATATAGTCGATAAGGGATAAAATGGATGCTCTCCACCAAACATATGCACAAGATGATGGCTGGGCTCTCCTTCATGTGCAGTCATCAAAATTAAGTCTGGTCTTTCCAGGGTGCACCTATTTCCTCCTTCTGAGTGTGAGATGATGTGTTTGAAACACTGATAAAAAGTTTGGCCACTGGGTGGAACCTAAGACAAAGACAGTGTTAACAAAAGCAAACAATATTAAAGGAGATCTTATGTTCCAATGTATACTTTCCTTTTATAACATCAGCATTGTAATAGTTACAGTGTGTGGTTTACTTTTAATTTCTAAGGACTACATATCCCAATTACATTGCTGCCTCCTGAAACCCTTCCACCTCTGTAGTTTAGGAGGCAGACTCTGTGAAATGGGTGATACGCAGTACATATTCACAAAGCATAGTAAGTAATGTGTCACATGTACGTTATGTCTATTATGTGTCATATGTTTATTAAAGGAAGTAAATGTGTGGGTTTCTTCAAAAAGTAATTTTACAAACTTTAAGGTGAGTCTTATAGAAAATTATTGCAATTACAAATGTTTAGGCATTTTCATGTTTATTTCTTTGGTCTGTATTGGTATGACACAAAAAAGTTGAGGAAAAAAAAGCCAAACCTGGCACATTCCACTCAAAACTCCAAAAATGGACTGGACAAAATTGGACAAAATTATTGGCACTCTCAGTTAATATTTGGTAGCACAGCCCTTGGAAAAAAATAACTGAAACTAATCGCTTCCTGTAACCGTCAATGAGTTTCTTACACCTCTCTACAGGAATATTGGACCACTCTTCTTTCGCCAACTGCTCCAGGTCTCTCAGATTGGAGGGGTTCCTTTTCCCAACTGCTGATTTGAGATCTCTCCACAGGTGCTCTATGGGATTCAGATCTGGATTCACTGCTGGCCACTGAAGGTCAACTTGGATTTGTCTGGAAGTTAATCGAGGGTCTTTATCCACCATTCAAACAATCTTTCATTGCAAAACTATGATCAATTGTTCTCTTTCATCCACGTCCATGGAGATTAGCTGCAGTGCCATGGGCTGTAAACGTCTTGAAAATGTTGTGCACAGTGGACACAGGAACATTAAAGGAGAACTATGGGGTCAGTGTTTTTCCCCATAGACGTTTGTTGCGCTATTTTTTTACCGCGAATCGCGGTAAAAAAACGTGCGACAGACGCGCATATGCAATACGCCTAGGTGTGAACCAGGCCTTAAGATCTCTGGAGATAGACTTGTAACCTTGAGATTGTCCATGCTTTTCCACAATTTTTGTTCTCAAATCCCCAGACAATTCTTTGCTGCTCTTTCTATTCTCCATGATCCGTGTGGCACACAGAGACACACAACAGAAAGGTTGAGTCAATTGTGTACCATTTTAACTGGTTGCCGGTGTGATTTCTATATTGTCAGCACCTGTTAGGTGAGTTTAATTACAAATTACAGGAGCATCACAAACTTGGAATGTAATTATTTCTTGCAATTTGAAGAAGGTGCGAATAATTTTGTCCAGTCCATTTTTGGAGTTTTGCGTTATACCAATACAAACAAAAGAAGTAAACATGAGAATGCCTAAACATTTGTAATTGCAACAATTTTCTGCCCAAAGTGGTGCATTATCTGGCAGAAATGCAGGGGTGCCAATATTTTTGGCCATGACTGTATATAATACATATATGGAAACAGTAAGCTTCACTGTAGCAACTACTGAAGGTATCCTATATACATTTCTTTTGCTGTTTTTAATTGTGCTGCATTGCACAAATATATACTTTAGTCAAATGCCTGTCCAAAAAATGATTACTGGATAATTTTAAACACTGCCCACGGGTAAATTTGAGGTTTTAAATTTTGTCTCTATTTTTTACAGGGACACATGTCATGAGCTTCTGGGGCACGTTCCTTTACTTGCTGATCCTAAATTTGCTCAATTTTCCCAAGAGATTGGACTTGCTTCACTGGGTGCATCTGATGAAGACATTCAGAAGCTTGCAACCGTGAGTGTGTACAGTTAAAATCACTAAATCAGATTATATATATTTTGGCTATGTGACCTTAACAATATTCATATTGGTATACATAATACAGTATATTCTTTACCCCTGGCGCACAACATGTAGCCTGAAGGCCCCATGTGGTCCATTGGTACTTGCTGTGTGGACTTATGCAAACCCTAGGAGTGGGAGCATTAATTTACAGTGATCTCTAGCAGTCTAACATAACATGTCCCCAGTCTCTATTTTCTGCAGCAGGTTTCCAGTATCTAACAAAACCCGTAACATATCTGCAGTCTCTGACCTTCTGCTCTACTATGTGGTGCACATAGCATATCTGGCACCTGAGGCTGATTTAAAATATCTCCTGCACCGACTGATGGGTGTGGCCAAGTATAAAAGACACATACCATGCTCAGCATAACAATAAAAAAAAAATAACTTCACAAATACTAATTTACTGCGTAACAACCAGCAATTGTTAAAACAATAAACACTTGGGTCAGAAGTATAGGTGGTCAGTGGCGTACTGTAAAAATCCCTCCCCCAGCATTGCTAGTCATTATCTCACTGTAACCTTCCCTTCCACAGCATTGGTGGTCAGTGGATGTCAGTGAAAATCCCCCCCCCCCCCCCCAATAACCCTGCAGCATTTATGGTCAGTGACTGGCTGTAACCCTGCAGCATTTATGGTCAGTGGCTGGCTGAGAAGTGTCCTTTTTATTCCCTGGTGGTCTAGTGGGGCACCTTGTAAAAAAATATGCCACTTACCGGTCCTGCGGTCCTGCACAGCTCTCTCTTCACAGAGCATGCTGTCACTAGTAACTTCAGAGAAATGTGGGGGAGCACCCCTCCCTCTAATACCTGCACGTCTCTTTTGGATATCAAGGGGAGACTGCAGCAGCTCACATGATTGGGTATTCTTTGCAAAGTGAGTTTTCACTTTGTTTTATCTCATTTGCTGATGCTATGTTTGTGGTTTCTGCATACTTAAGTTTAACACTTTTGCATTATTTTTAAACATAATGACATGGCACATGAGGAGTGACAGACACTTAATGTCTAAAGAGGCAATAAATAAAAAAAATGTGCTAGTTTATTAGGTATAGGACAAGCACCTCTAGTCAATAATTGTACATGTGTTAAAAATCCCTCAAGCAAGTAATATGACTTTGCTTCTTGGCATATGCAGCCAACTTATGTAATTTGAGGTAAAGAACATTTCTGAAACTTTCGTAAGTTTGTGATAATTATCTGTTGGTTTCAGCTTTAAAATTGTTGCCAGATTTTATGTCTCTGATTTACATCCATGTTGATTTCTTTATGCGGACAATAAAAACAAAATGACAATACAGTTGAAATGAGCAAAATACATAATGTTCTGATATATTTATCAAGCGTGTTAAACAGTATGGAGGGCATGTGTATGTTTGGAAATTAATAAAATATGTGTCAGCTGCAATGCCTCCAATACACTAAAGATTTTGATAAATTACTGTCACGTTTTAGCAGTACTATTTGGCTGATGCTGGGAGCTATGTGTGTTTTCACCAAATAAAAATGTATATTACCATCTGTTTCCATTAGATACAGATTGAGTTTACTGATTATATTTTTTTGTGGATTGCTATTCTTTTTTTTCACCTTTTAGGGAGATTGATAAGATACTCTCAACCTTCCATTGTCTAGAAAAAATTAAAAATAAAGAATCGCTTCAAGTCTTCCCACAGTGGGTTCAGTCTACAGAGAAATGAATTATGGAAATCAGACTCTTTGTACAAAGAGGGCAGTCAGTTTTACTGTGCGGGTTACCAGGGATTGTAGGTTTACTTTTGCATACACTGAGCTGTGTTACAGCAGGGTTCAGTAATTCATAGATATGTGGACATGGTATGTTAAAGTGGAACTCCAGTTACTTTTTTTATTTTTAGTTTCCTCCTCCTAGTTTAAAGTTCTGCTTACCCTCTTCATGCTCCATTGCTGTCCCAGGCTTCCTCCTCGGTCCAGCTTTGGGAGTCCTCTTTGGTTATTGTTAATAATGTTAATCTCTATGGTCCTCCTCCCTCACTTCTAATATTCATACTAACAGTCCTAGGTGCCAATAATGGATCTTGCATTTAGAGATCTCTTTCCTCTGCCCATTGCGTGTCCATAATCCCACTGGTCTAGTTGAAATTTCCGTTGTTTACATTTGGCACTTGATATGACATGGGATTGATGGCCATGTCTTCCCTGCACCCCTAACTAGGCGAAATGGCCACCGGCTTTCCCTGTATAGCTAGGATGCTACTGGCTAACATACTCCAAGCCACTGCACACATGCGGTAGGGCTGGCATCCAAGGGGAAGGTCCAGCATCCACCCTTTCTAAGAATCTAAGGGGAAGTGTCCTTGTTACCAAGGCTATGGCTGGGACCCGATTTTCCCACATGCATACACGATTGGGTATAAGAATTGGGAACCCCCACAACACACTCTCAGGTTAGGTCAGCTCTAAGTAGACTGATGATATCTATTATGCAATTACATATTATATGAACAATGGTGATATGCAGAGTCATGTTTTCTAGTAAATCTGTTTTTACTTTACTAGGGCAGCAATGTGATGACAGTGGTTTTCACTAATGCCCTGCTGTCTCACATTGGCATATGTGTCGGTCTTTTTTATGCATTTTTTGTCCCTTTGCCAGATGAAGTGACTATGCAAGGTTCTGAAACATTGCACAATTATTCTTTGCATGCTGAATGAACATCAATAAAGGTGCTTCTGAATAAGGATTTAATTGAGGTGTGCTGGTGACACATATTATTTAGTCAGAGACACTGGTGCATGGTCTGATATGGCAATTTCATGGATCTAAAGGATGTATTATATGGGGCGTCAATGTATCGGTGCAATATAAATAATCCAGCCTGGCTAATAAACCCTGGACATAGTAGTATTGGGTATACTCTATGTTTATAAGATGTGATATCCTCCACACACCAGTGGGGTAGGAGTGGATCTTAGTTCGGTGTTAGTTTTGAAATAACAATAGCAGTGGGTACATCTATCCTCACTATCTGAGATTATGGGATTAAAATAGCCTCCCACAATATGGCAGGGATGTGGAGAGGCCACAGTCCATGTTGCCGCCTCTTGATAAAAAGTTTTTCCTGGGGAGTTGGGGGCATATACAGTATATTTTGATAGTCAAGTCCTGATCTGCTTATTAAGAAGAATTAGAACCCCAGCCTTGTGGCCATTCCAGGGGGAGCTGAAGTTAAATGTGCCTCCTGTAACAGGGCAATGTCTGTATGCAGGCGCTTTAGGTACTGGAGTATTTACATGCATTTAGTCGGCATATCATTCCCGGACAATAAAAGTTTATAAATAATCGGCCAACCTCCTTCACCTGTGTGTACCCAGTTTATCGATTTAGAAAAATGCGTATTAGCCCAAAGTAATGGAAAATCTGAATAAAGGTGCAGTCCTCTATAAAAGGTAACAGGAAAACATCACATGCATGCATATGTAAAACACACAGTGTTATAAACTGAACTTTGGTAGATGATACTTTTTATCATGTGTGTTATCACATGATACTTTTTATCACATATGTTGCCTGAGGAAAGTACAATGTTTACCCTGTACACCGGCCATATTGTACCCATGCCTTTGTGTGGATCAAACGGTCAGTTAAGGCATTTCTGAGGCATTAATAATGAATGGCTTACATCAAAACATAGGCAAGGTCTGGCAACCTAGCATTAATTAAACAGGTTAAAAATGTCCCAGGTTGAGTATATGGTGGCTGAAGAGGTATGCAAAATGTACTGATTTTTCCTGCAGTCTGCAAAGTTGATGGAGATACAGAAAGAGAAGGTAACCCTTACAGAGCTTGCTTGGGTTCAATGTGGACCTTTATGATGGGGAGAAGGTTGTTACTTTCCCCAGTTGGAGATGCATTTTGTGAAGAATGTGTTTAGGCTTTGGGGAAGTTTTATCTACTGGTAGAAGATTTCAGAGATTTTAGAAAATGCTTCCCCTCATTTAGTCATTTAAATTCTATTCTATATGCTAATGAAGGAATGTTGCGTAGTAGCAATGTTGAGTAGTAGCAGTCACCTTTATAGAGCAATCTGCAGATAGAGGAATGCCCGTCAATGTGAAGCTCCTTCACCTTCCTGTAGTATTGCAAGATGGATAACTTATCAGCATAGTTCAGGTGCTTAAATATCAATTGGCTTTGGGTCCCCTGCTCTGATAGTTGTTATTCTATGCAATGGGCTCTTTCTGTTACTCAAGGGCCCAGGGCTTCAGTGATGCAAGAGGAACAGATATCCAATATGTACAGGCTTTATAACTTTCAGGGAGACTGGTGACTGAGATTTATTTTTTTGTAGCAATTTTCAAGATCTACCATCTTATTGGTAAGATCTTGATGCAACTTCTCCTGCAGCATCTGTGAGGCATTGTGCTTGCCCCAGGAGTTAGGAGTTTTATCACAGCCTTGGTGATTTTAAAAAGTAAAAGTTATACTCACCCTATCCTTTAAACCTGGCTGGCCCCACCGCAAGGGTTAACACATTTTGTTCCCGGTGTTCTTTGTTAAGCTTCAAAGATCATATTTTAAACAGAAACCTTTTCATTCAGGGGCACATTTATTGAATGCACATAAAGGAATCAGTTCAGATTTTGACCTGTTTAGAAACCTAAACACTTTTGAAAAAATTAAGCACAAACAGCTAAATGAAACATGTGCAGCAACAGATTGGAAAAGCATAAGCATGTATACGAGCAACAGGTTTTTTTTTATACTAAAGGGATAATAAAAGCTTTTATCAATCTGCATTTGCCAGGCGTGCAGCCAGTGAAGCAGCATTCCTGGAATGTGTTGCAGTATAATCTGACTGTTTCCAATTCCCAGCACACAGTGTTGTATGATTTTGAAATGGTTGAGTCACTCTTTATAATGTGATTCTTTGGTCTTTCTGGGACATGACAGATTTGTTTATATGGGT